GATGATGGCGAATGATTTACAGATCCTGAGCACCACTGACAAGCATCTGATCGTGTAAAATGTGTGGTAAGTACTGCCGCTGTAGTTTACACAGAGCACGTGCGATCGCAAATCTTGAAAGTCAAAGTAAAAAGCGATCGTGCATTCGAACGGCTCCCTGATGCCCGCATTTTATATACAGTATAATTACCCAACGAATTAACTGCGAGAGAGAGTATTGAAATATATATTTTCCCTGTGTTTCCTTCAAGCTGTGTGAGCTACTGAAATGAGCCGCACTGTGAAACAGCCAATCAGAGCAGAGCTCAACATTATTATTCATGACCCTTCCAAATAAGGTAAAAACAGGCCATTTCATTCTAGGGACAAATCCTAGGTTTGTAAATGGACATGTAAAACCGTTTCTGGAGATTTTTTGCCCTTACCTAAGCCACATACCTTCTATGTAGATATCAGAGAACAATTTAAAATATTGTATCAATGCATTCTATGGCACCTTTAAAGCTACAAAAGTTATTGATGTCTTCTTTTTGCTTTTGCTTTTTGATTTACAGACATCACAGCAGCTGGGTTATTAGGTTATTTGGCTGCTAAGACTTTAAGAGCTGCCGCTGCTGAATGTGACAGATCTGATGCAATTCTTGTCAAGAAAAAAAAAAAAAGAGACAGAAGCAGCAGTTGTGAGTGGGGTGGCCAACCCAAGCCCCGCCCATGCATTAACTGTGTTAAATATTTTTAATGCCGTTAAATTGGATAAATTAATCACCTGCGTTAATGCACTAATTTTGACAGCACTAATATATACATATCAATATACACAGTGACAGTACACACACATATTATGTAAAATAATATGATCAATCGAATGCATCCTTGTTCAGCAAAGGTAATTTTTTTTTTTTTTAAAGGTATAATAATAAATAATATATAAACTAAATAATAACATGATATAGGTAAAACCCCCAATCTTTTGAACAGTAGTTTATATTTATAGTTTAGGCTATATAAGTATAAAACCAATGCATTTCTGCAGCTTACTTTGCAACGATTCTCTTCTTAATGACATCAATGCTGACTGGTGGAAGTGTTTCGGGGATGTCCATTTTCTTCTGTCGGGCTGGTCTAGGAGCCTGCCATTCCTTCTGAGAATACAAGGAAAGGTCCTTGAAACACTATGGAAGCAGTGTGTAATAAAAAGCAAGTTAAAGTTATGTTATTTACAATCCAAAATGGCTCAAGGACATTAACTGAGGTTTCATGTCACAGTGGAGGGTCTCACTTGGTGTCTTTTGACTCCTTTTCTAATTTGCTGTTCTTCCCATATCTGCTGGTCTTCCTCCTCCTGGCTGTCAGAAAAACTCTCATCACTATCACTCCCTACAGAAAACAAACACAGAACATACAGAACATGTCATCTATCTCGAGATCTACTTCAGTGTTTTAATATACACAAGTACTGTAGCAGCACATGTTTCTTACCCATCTTCTCAGCCATTCGCTCTCTCAGAGTCTTGGGTTTGGGTGCAAACTCGATTCTGCGCTCATGATCGTCCAGCTCATTGTCACTGTCTTGTTCTCCATTGCTCTGACCGTCTTCCTGTAGGCTTCCAGGAGTTCGGGGTGAATCCAGTGAAATGTAATCTTGCTGGGCTCTGGCTTGTCTCCTTTTCTCTTTGGCAGCATGAATCTTTTTCGTATCAGGAACGACGACTGCAGCATTTAACAAATAATGACATTAACAACCAGACTTAAGTGTTAGTGAGTAAATAATGACAAATTGCATACTTCAGTGAACTATTGCTTAAAGGGTTAGTTCACCCAAAAATGAAAATTCTGTACTTAAAGGGATAGTTCACCCAAAAATTGAAATTCTGTCATTAATTACTCTCATGTCATTCCAAACCCGTAAGACCTTCGTTCACCTTTGGAACACAAATTAAAATATCTTTTATGAAATCCGAGAGTTTTCTGACCCTGCATAGACAACAACGCAACTACCATGTTCAAGGCCCAGAAAGGTAGTAAGAACATATAATAGTCCATGTGACATCCGTGGTTCAACCGTAATATTATTAAGCTACGATAATACTTTTTGTATGCAAAGAAAACAAAAATAACGACTTTATTCAACAATTTGTCCCCTCCACGTCACCGTAGCACCATTTTGGAGAGTATCCACTGAACGTAAACAGCATATGCTATTCTGTGTCAGCTGCGTCACGTGGATACGTTTTCTACGTTGTTTACGCTTTGATTTGAACGAAAACATCGTATCCGTGTGACGCAGCCGACACAGAACAACATACGCCGTTTGCGTTCGGTGGATACTCTCCAAAATGGCACCAGGGTGACGCGGAGGAGACGAATTGTTGAATAAAGACGTTATTTTTGTTTTCTTTGCGTACAACAAGTATTCTCATAGCTTTGTAAAATTACGGTTGAACCCCTGACGTCACATGGATTATTTTACCGATCTCCTTGCTACGTTTCTGGACCTTGATCGTGTTACTTACATTGCTGTCTATGGGAGGGTCAGAGAGCTGTTAGAATTCATCAAAAATATCTTAATTTGTGTTCCGAAGATGAACGGAGGTCTTACGGGTTTGGAACGACATGAGGGTGAGTTATTAATGACAGAATTTTCATTTTTGGGTGAACTATCCCTTTAACTCTCTCGTGGTCTTTGGTCACTTAAACGGAAAAATCTAACATTATGAAATTTATACTTCGGAAAAGTACAAAAGTTTTGTGCTACTTACTATTTGAACACACAAGGAACATTTATTAGAAAAGGTTAAATGGGTTAAACTGTATTAACTTACAAATAATATGAATTTCCTAATATTTGTTTTATTTTATACAGAAATAAATGGTGTAAATTAGAAATTAATATTTTTAGTAGCATGAAAACCCCTCAAAATACAAAATATTACAGAATAAATATTATTGAGATTAACAAAATATCACAAGTGTGGCCCCTAAGTGAGGAATTCCAGAGGGTAACGTTAATGATTGTAGTCAAACCTCTTTGTGGTTTTGAAGAACCAGATGAACTTGACATGGTAGAAGAGCTTCCATCATCGCTGTCAGGAGGAATGTCTTCAACCGAGGAATCAGAATCACTGTCAGATTGCACACTGACATCCTTACTCTTCTTAACTGAAAACAAATGAAGTGTTATTGATCATAACGGTCAATCTGCAGAACTATGCCGTTATTAAAACAACAGACACACCCTGGGAGCCTGTTAACGGTGCAGGAGAACCATCTTTTTTCCGAGCCTGGAACACAACTTCTCTGTCGACTGAACGTTTTACTGTAAATCTTTCCTCGGTGGCTGTAAGAGTCAAGTTTCTTCGTTAAAACCAATCTTATTAGTTATTTAGTGCTTATGAGAGGTTGTAATCAAATACTCACAGTCTTTTTCATCAAGAAAGCTGAGTGTATTGCTCTTTGAATGGTGTTTTGTGTCTTTGGACTGGAGTGCAGTGACTGAGGGCTCCTCAGCATCACTAGAGTCGCACTCGCGAGCCTTTGGACTAACGTTACTTCGCGGCAAATCCGCTTTCTCCGTTTCCTTTCCGCCATCACCACCGCTGAGCTTTTCATTCTCATCTTCATCACTGGATTCGTTTTTCCTTTGCCTGAAATTTCGGCGCGGATTTTTATTAAACATTTTAAATCCAATCCAATTTGTGAACGTGAAATCAACGACTTGTAATGTACTGACGTAGTTTGTACTTCCCGGTCGTTGTTTAGAAACATTTCATAATAAAAGTCCTGCACCTGATTAACGAAATCGATTGTATATATTTAATTTATTGTGAAAAGTGTTGTTGTGGTTGTGGCAATATCTTCAAATACATATGGCAAATGTATCCAAACTGAATCTTGTCGATTTTAAAAGTGAAACAAAATTAGTTAAGGCTCTTTCCCCCAGCATTTAAGTATATTCTTATATAGAAGTTTAGCCTTTTTTTTTTTATTCACATTATGTTATTGTTTTAATATAAGCTTCTGCACAACTAAAACTGTAAATCCTATTTTCAGTGTTTGCGTCCTTATTTATTTGAAGTAATGATAAAAAGATGTAAATTACTCTCACATCCAACTGAGGGTGCTAAAGTATGCGAGTTATAATGTCTACATATTCCAGCTTTAGTGTAGTATTTGGGTAAAAGTTAAGAGTAAATAAACTTGTAATTAACATTTCCAGGATTTTTTTAAGCAAAAATATGGTTGTCACACTATGTGGCGTGCTGTTAAAATATGAATTAAAATAATTATTAAACAAACTGAAAATGTGGAAAGTAGCATTTAAGAATACCAAACCACTGTTTGGGGTGAAAATATTGTATTTAATATATATACACACACACACACTAATAACTATTTTAAAAATATGCATGAAACTGAAAACCTTACCCAAATCTTCCTGCCTTTTTCCAGTGCATATGTTACTACTAAAATATAAAAAATATATATATTTTGAAGGATTGAGGTTTGAATTATATGCTTGGCATCCAAAAAAAAAAAAAACACAACACAGGTAATTGGTTTATAAAATGTAATTAAGCATATTACATAACATACATAGGGCATAAAACATTTTCACAAGGCTTTTGTGAGACTAAAATTCATGGGAAATAAAAAAAGAGGGGGAAAAAAAAATAAAAAATCACATACACAATAGAATAAAAGACATAAAGGAGAAACAAAACATATATAATAGTGGTTGAATCTATAATGACACTCTCTGGATAACCACACACCTGTGCACACTGCACAATGCATTAAAAAGTACTGAACAGAACTTTAATATTGGCAATATGGCAACTGACCATATGCACGATTACTTCCTGCTTTTAGATAAGCCAGCTCAGTAATTTCCGGTCAACTGTACTGTGCCGTAAGGGGAGCGCCCTTTGCTCGTTTCTCTACATAATCCATTCACAATTTGAAGAAAAGTTCTGTTTGTCTAAGAGGACCAAACGTCCACGCATAACGTTTCAGGAATGACAAACGCGAATGTTAAATTTATGCGAGTGAATCCGTTAAATCATGCCGCGAGTCATTGCAATGGTTGACAGTGGCAACGGAATGAATCATCTGACGAGCCGATGTCAAAATAGAGCTGTGCATTAAGTAATTCAGACTAACAAAACTACAGCAGCAACAAGTCTGTGTTGGATAAAACTTAAACGATGTAGTTATTAAATTAAATCTAAACATTTCAAAATATTGAATGCATTATTTGTTATACCAGCTTATTTAATTTGCATTTAACTATATAGGTATTTAAATAATTTAGCATTATAGGCTGCTGTCTGGCCTTATTTATTTTTTTAAATGACAAGTGACTTTGACTTCCTGCACTTGCTATACTTTATACTTCAGTGCGATAAAGTATATGTTATATTTATTTTATAATAAATCAAAAAGCAAGACGTGAAAAAAACTAGGGAGTTGAAATGGCAGCTGCAGCCAATGAGTGATCCTCTGCTGCCATCTCCTGGTTATAATGGTCATTTCATTTTCATCTTAAAAAGTCTTTATTTTTCGTCCAAGAGACACGTTTTTGGCACATTTCTTCATGTCGTCTTCATGAATGAAAATTGAACCTTTAATAAAGTGAATTTTACTGCACAAAGTTGAGAAATAATAAAGGCTTTAAAATTGTATAAGATTCTAAAAATGTGTTCATGGCTATGAAGGTAAGATATTGATTATCGAGAACACCATTACGGTGTTGTTTAAGAGATTAGCCTAACTGCCTAAACAGTTACCATAGTGTTTATTTGTCAGCATTTAAATGTACAGTTAGGTGTCTGGGTACTTTCCTGGGATTACCAGACTCTGCATATAAAATTATATGTTCTTTAATACCATGAAACTGTATGTTAATTCCGCTATCATTATTTACGGGGTTGCAGTTATTTTGTTTCTCAGTTTCTGATAAGAATGAGGCAGGAGAGGTTTCTGTGAGTCTCTACCTATATATAGCACATATAAAATGAGCTTCACCGGAAGAATACGAGCTAGCTTATCTTTATCCGGAAGTTCTAAATAGCGCTCCGTGCATATGGTCAATTGATTCCCATTCCAGTGTTCTGGACATACACAGGCAATGTTATTTGCCACCAACACAAATTCACCACTAGCAGTCAGAATCAGAAAGATACTCGTTCCTGGTTTCTATCATTCATAACATGCCTTATGTGAAACTCATTTCTAGAGTGGGTCGTTTATACGTGACCATCAAAACCATATTACCAAACTGTCCCACAGATTGTGTCAGAATTGGTCTGCAAGCTAGTGAGGTACTGCTAACCAAACAGTTTCACTTTTAACACCGCATTACTAAACAAATCAAATCAAATATGCCCCAAGTCGTCTTACAAATGGTTTAAATTTCAATGGATGATTTCGATTTCCATAAAATAAAAGCAAAGGGAACACTAAACAGGCCAAAATCAAGTGGAAAAACAGTAAATATATTATTAAGCCGTTTATAAACTGAGGACCGTCAGATACTACATACATATCAGTGCAGATGCTAATATTTCCAAGTAAAATCTGAAATGCAGCTTGAAACATACGCCATTTCAACAAGTGTCTTTTTTAAATTTCCATATTGAACTATCTAAAGCGTGACTGACCACTGGTTTCAGTGGAAGTGCACAACCCGTGGTAGTGCTGAGGTGAAACAGGTAAGAGTGTTAAAGTACAAGATACAGTAGGTGTATATGGTTATCTAAATGCTTTTAATATCCCTGCAATTACTTTTTAGTCTCAGACTTACCTGTGATGAAATGCATGTCCTTACTTTTAATTTATTCATTCATTTATTTTCCATTAACTATTACTTTAAGATTATGTTTGTATAAAATGACACTTGTCATACTTTTCTACAGCAGAAACGGCACATTATGGAAGGCCAAGACAAACAAACTAAGGAACAGGGTTTCTCCCCAAATATCTTTCTTTTCTTGTCCAAAAGCTGCACTGTGAAAAGACTAAATTATTATTTTTTTTCCATGAACAGCTCTTCATTAATCATGGGTTTGATCTTTACTGGAGGAATTCTGGCATGGAGTGATAAGGAATGGAGATGTGTAAAAAGGTCATTTTCTTTGTTGAAGGAGCGTGAGGTCTAGTTCTCTCCTCCCTCGCCTCCTTCTCCCTCATCTGGTGCGTTGTCAGATGTCCATAACTGGTGGAAGAGGAGAATATGACATGGTCAGAACACATTCAGTATTATTTTATATACAGTGTTAATTATACACTATTATAGTTTTTATTAATATTTTCAACTAGCCAAACTTTTTAGATTTTCAGTTTTCATTATAAATTTAATGTCTACCTTTAATCACATTTCTAAATATTTTTATTTCTGTTGGAAATGTTATTATTTTAGTTAGCTTTAATATTGTTTCTAATAGTTTGTTAATGATAACAACACTGAAAACAATGGCCATTTTCTCCTTGACTGATCTCTTAAATTGCATCTCTCTGTTTTGACAGTACATCACACCACTATATCAAACCATAACTGGTCATCTTTGCCCTCAAAAATCGAATCACCTGTGAGAAAAAGAAATTTCTCTGCCGTTACTTACTGTGAGGTTGTCTCTCAGCAGCTGCATGATAAGAGTGCTGTCTTTGTAAGACTCTTCATTCAGCGTGTCAAGCTCTGCTATGGCCTCATCAAATGCCTAAATTTGTACAAAAACACATTCGTAAAAAATGTAAAGTTTATATATCATGAAATTCAAGATATACTGCAAGCATGGTCATTTAAAAAGTACCTGTTTAGCAAGGGCGCAGGCCTTTTCTGGAGAGTTAAGGATCTCGTAGAAAAAGACAGAAAAGTTGAGGGCCAGACCCAGACGTATGGGGTGTGTGGGCTGCATCTCTGTCTTGCTTATTTCTAATGCTTTCTCATAAGCATCCTGAGAGTTCTCTATGGTTGCTGTAAACAAAATAAAATACTTGGTTAGGCTCGCAATTCATATTGGGTACAAAAATGTCGAAGAAGCACTCAATAATGTGGTGAAGTTTCAGGCCAGTGCTGATTTTACTAAATCTTGCATTCGCTGATGTTGTACATGCATTTGTCTTGCCATTTTTTTTGCTAAACTGTTGTTGAAAATTGTGATTTAAATATTACATTATCTAGCTTGCTAACATAAATGAGAATGTCGAAAATGCAAGAAAAATTTGAGAATCATTTTGAATGGGTTCATAGTCATTAATCAGTGTAATATTTTAAATATTTTGCATCTTCATCAGCAAAATTGCAATTATGATGAATTCAGGTAGTTACATTAGCTTTGTAATTTCTACCTTTTGTAACAAATAAAAACATATATTAAAACAAAAAATATATAAATATAAATACTACAATAAATATAAATATTGTTATGCAAATATTATACATGTTTAAAATGTAACTTACACATATAAATAGCTAATAATAATAAGAAGAAAACGAAAAACTAGAATACAGCACAATTTGAGTTGAATTACTGAAATAAATGAACTTTTCCATGACATTCTAATTTATTGAGATGCATCTGTAAATATTAAATTAAAAAATAAATACTTCTATCAATATTATAAATACTTGCACAAAAAATGTTAGCTAATATGTGACCATGGACCACAGAACCAGTCATAAGGGTCAATTTTTTGGAAATTGAGATTTATACACCATCTCAAAGCTGAATAAATAAGCTTTGCATTGATGTATGGTTTGTTAGGATAGGACAATATTTGGCCGAGAAACCATTTGAAAATCTGGAATCTGAGGGTGCAAAAGAAAACAAAATATTGAGAAAATCGCCTTTAAAGTTGTCCAAATTAAGTGCTTAGCAATGCATATTACTAATCAAAAATTAAGTTTTGATATATTTACAGTAGGAAATTTACAAAATATCTTTATGGAACATGATCTTTACTTAATGTCCTAATGATTTTTGGCATAAAAGAAAAATCAATCATTTTGACCCATACAATGTATTTTTGGCTATTGCTACAAATATACCCAAGCGACTTAAGTCCAGGGTCACATATAATAAATAATACTATAAATATTGTATATACATTTTTAAATGTTAAAAAAAAAAAAAAAGATTTATTGTTTTTTTTTTTGTGGTGGGACCAGTGAATATGTTGACAGCCGAAACAAAATCCTTACTTCAGGGATACAAAACTACAAAAAGAAACACTACTAAAACTAGGTCATCCAAAAAAATATAAATTTGAAATTACTAATATGAGCCAAAAAAAAAAAAAAGTTAAAAAATGTGTTGCTGAGAATGAGTATCTCTATTGAGCAGATAATGATCAGCCTATACTCAGACACAAGACAAACTTCCCCTTGTTTAGATGTTTCCAGTTACGTCATACCTAGGAAAGTCCAGTCCTACATTTTACGGAAATGCTTGTAAAACCCACAAAACCAGCAGTCAAGCATTCTTACTTTTCTTGTCGTCTCCTGAAGCGACTTCAGCAAGGTATCTGTAGTAGTCACCCTTCATCTTCAAGTAGAAGACTTTGCTCTCAGGATTTGTGGAATTCTGGATTAAATATTTGTTCAGCAGCTCCTGTAGAAGAAGAATAAAAGAAAGAATTTAAACGGTGGAAAAGCTTGAAGTCCACATTTAGACACTTTCATGTCATTTCTTTAGGCCACAAGAAACATGCAAACCACTAGGAGAATGACCTTAAATACAGGTTAAATATCAGCTCATCCTCCTGTTAGTGCCGTTCCCATGCCGACTCAAAGCAGTTTTAGGGGATTTCCCTCCTTCATTTTAGTCCAGGATTAAGCTTAATCTCTGTCTCAGAGACTAGCCCCTAGCTGAAGCTCTCCATCTCTGCATCCGTCTACCCGTCTAAGACTGCTTCAGCAGTAATCTGTTTCAGTGAAAGCAACAGCTTTAAGGCACGAGTAAATACCAGATTAACCACCACACCAAGGATAAGACAGATTACCACAGAAAGGTCAACACAACATCATAAGGTATGACCCACTCCTTACCACGCTATGGTAAGAACAGGTCAGAAAATACACCATCAAGAGCTTAATATTTCTCTCCATCCTCCTACACTTCACAGCGTTCTGCTTCACAAACCTCACAAACACGTTACAACAGAAATCATTAGGAAACAGATCAGCAGAGGTTTACTCAAATCTAGGATGTCCAATATTTTATTGCTCTCTCAGTGATTAAAGGGATAGTTCACCCAAAAATAAAAATTGTGTCAACATTTACTCACCCTGGATGACTTACTTTATTCTGTGGAACATGACATGTTTTTGGCCTTACAATGAAAGCCAATTGACTTCCATTGTACAGTTTTTCAAACATCCCATTGCTGGCCTAAAAATGTAGAGTAGAAGCTTCTGATAAGACTAAAAGCAGATGCACATAAAATAGCACACTATTGAGCATCCAAACCCAAAATCTCGTCAACAATCTTTGTGACAAGCCTAATTTATGTGGATGCACTTGCATTACCTTTTCAGGGACAGCTGAGGGAAAAAAACAACTTTAAAAACACTTATTCAAAGTAAAAGTAATAACAAAAGATTCTATTTCATTTATGTTCTTTTGAACATTCTATTCATCAAAGAATCCTAAAATAAATAGATCACGATTTCCACAAAAATATGAAGCAACACAACTGTGACTTTCAATAGTTATATAATAAGAAATGTTTGATCAAATCAGTATATCAGAATGATTTCTGAAGGATCATGTGACACTGAAGACTGGAGACACAATATTACGGTTTTAACTGTATTTTTGAGTTTTGCTGAACATGAAGACTTAAAAAAAAAAAATCTCATTAACCCCAAACTTTTGAACCATAAAATATACTAAGGATGGTCGACTGAACTGACTGGGTTTAAAAAAAAAGTGAGATTAACTAGTCATCTTTGTTTAAGCTTTAATATGGGTGGTTCTATAAAAGGGAAGAATTTAGAGAAATCACTTTTCAGTGAGGATTGAGTGTGCAAACAGTCATTTCTGTACATTCTGGAAGCTAAAACCCTTTCTGAGAAGTTATGTTTCTAAATTCATCCCAGCTACAGTGAAAGTGCTTTTTTGTTTTGTTACAAATCCACCATATTATACAATAAATTTTGAGATAATTATGGTCAGACTCAATACAACAATATTTTTAGTTGTTGATCATGAACACACACAGGCGAATGTCTTTATGCATTCATATAAATCAATGATAAGTGCAGGAAACCCTTGTTCAGTGAGTGTAATCCTCCCAACTGAGAGTATGAGAGCTGGCAGCATGTGGCAGGCAGTGTGGACAGGTGGGGGTGTGGAACAACTTTGATCCCAGAGCAGATTCAACAGTGAGATGAGTCACAGACACACCCTCAGCCATCACAGACGAGCTGAGAAATCAAGCTGGAGTTCTCGCTAAAGCAGCGCCCAGAAACAGCCATGACTCACTGCACAAACACAGTTCAGCACTTACATGGGTTCAGACTGGACTACAGCAAAACCACTGCTAACAGCACCACTGAATTACCAGAAAGACAGCGACTGATTGTGAATGCTTTCTATTTCCACAGGAAGCACTTTTTGGAAGTCCAGGTAGAAACCGATAAAACCAATACATTTTTAATTGTATTTGGCAGATAAATGATAAATGGCCGAAGTTGGCATGAAACGGAAATTCGCCCATCTACATTCTAACTATTGTGAATGACTGATTGCGCCATGTTAATAGAGCTCTTTTTATTTATTTTTTTTAGAATTTTGTTAATTGTTAATCACAATGTCACTGTGCGATTACAGCACGACTTTAATATTCTATACTATTTTGTCTAAATAAATTAAAATGAAACACTAAAATCATATGAGATTTGCTAAAGATTACTTTTAAATTATTAGTAGTAGTTAGGGCTGGACGATATGGCCAAAATTTATATCACGATACATTTCTTCGTTTAAAAATCATATCACCGTTATTGAAAAAAATTATATCGCAATACATATTGATATTGAATTATTGTCCAGCCCTAGTAGTAGTTTAAAGATTAAAACACTAATAACAGTGTTAGATGTGTAGAAGTAGAGGAAATATCCGATATCAAACAATACCGATCAATTTTTATCCAATACTGATAAAAAAAATTATATAATTAACATTGGTTGCAACTTTGTCTATATCTCACATGATGTCACTAAATTGTATTATGCATATATAAGCCACCTAGATATCACCCCTAGTACTGGCATCTGCCATTGAAAAAACAAACACACACACACATTGGTTGACCACCACATAAGACATTAGTGAATTTTACAATATTGTTCTACAATAATACATAAAGCAATTGTCTATACAACACCCATAAAACATGGTCTAATAGTAATGAATTATGGTCTTCTCTATGAACAGACCACAATAAGAGCTACCATTTCAGCTCTTTCTGTGAGAAAATAAACCACATCCATTTTTAGAACAAACCTCCTTCAGGCAACATTAAACATTATTGCATTTATTTAAAGAAACAAAGTGTCTGAGTGGATAAGGCTAAAGTATTCCACCAGTAGCACAAGCATTGAGAATGAGGAACTGCATAGCTCACTATTACCCAGCAGGCATTCGGAAAGCGTTACTAAACTGCACCTGAATGCACCTTCACACACACCCACTGCTGAACTTTGATCATCTCATCACAGTCAGGGCCATGATTTGATTATATAAACAAACACTTCCTTCTGTGGGAAGTGTCTATCAGGAAACACTTCTCTTTTTACATCATACCAATTAGATCATGGTAGGTTTGCTTTACATAAAGCTATTAAATACAAACTGCATGGCTTAAAATTGGACTCATCACTACATATTCTAGATATAAAAATAATGAGACGGTGACTGTCCTTGTGCAAGACTGTGCATGCTCCCCTTAATATAGACACCCTCATCTCCAGCGAGAGCCAAAACTGGGCTGCTGTTCCATCAGAAAAGAGGACATATTCTCTACCATGTTATGTGTAACACACACACACATGTGGTGAACATATACTAATATGATACATACATTTAAATATGGTCAAATCATATCTGTGCTTATATTCAAAATGTGATTAATTCAGCAAAATTGTATGTTTAAACAAACAAAAAGCCAAAAAAATAAAAAAAATAAAAATCATTTCAAGAGCAAAGACATCCATTTGCATACTGATTTAGATTAGTATTTATTACAGACTAGGGCTGCACTATTTGGGGAAAATAATTAATTGTGATTAGGGTTGGGTACCGAAACCCGGTACCAATATGGCACCGGTACCTATGTAACCAGTATGTACTAGATCCGAATCAGAACACAGATTTCGGTGCCTCATTTCGGTGCCATGCCTGAGCGATCGATTTAAATATTTGTCCTCTGGTTCTCCGAAACGGACGTAAGAAGTATCATCACTGGCACCGCATGTGAAAAATAATTTCCCGACTGAGAAAATGCACGTAACTCAAGTCGGAAAGCTCTAATAATACAGATCCAACACATCTTTGTAGTAACGAGAGTGTCCATGTTGTTTTCACATTCCGTCGCCATGCCTGAGCGATCGATTGAAATATTTGTCCTCTGGTTCTCCGAAACGGACATAAGAAGCATCATCACTGGCACCGTACGTGAAAAATCATTTAATTATTATTATAATCTCCCGACTGAGAAAATGCACGTGAACTCAAGTTAGAAAGCTCTAATAATACAAATCCAACACATCTTTGTAGTAACGCGAGTGTCCATGTTGTTTTCACATTCCGACTTAAAAGCACAACTTGGGAAATGAGAGCATCCGAGGAGCGCGTGAATGCAGTAATTACACTTGCTCTGATGGC